CTCTGTCTCTCCCCCTCTCCCTCCCTCCCTCCTTCCCTCTCTCTCTCTCATGCGCGTGTGCACATGGACACATTCTCTCATGTTAAGAACTGAACCCAGACCCTCCCACTTGCTAGGCAAGTGCTATATTACTGAGCTCCATCCCCAGACTCCCATTATAAAGTCTTCATCAGGAACTGCATGTCCATTTCAAGCATAAAACCTGATATAAAAAAAAATTATGTTCTTGGAAGTAAGCTCAAAGTTTTTAATAAGAAACTTTCAAAATACTTTATTTGGGAATTTATACAAGTTTAATATTTACTACCTACCCCAAAACCTCTAACAGTTTCTCTTACAGTGATTATATAATATAGAAATGTATCATGAACTCACTTTGTAGTGCAGGTTGGCCTTCAACTATGTAGCCCAGGCTGGTCTTGAACTCCTAGCAATCCTCCTGCCTCAGCCTCCTGAGTGCTGGGATTACAGGTCTGGGCCACCACGCTCGGTTTATAATTAACTTTTAAATCAAGTCTCATATTGTATGACTCCAAATCTCCTGCACCATGCACCTTACAAACATGATCATTTTCTAACATCACATAGGAAAGGTCAGGAACATTGTCTTAGAAGACAGGGCCAACTCTGAAGAACTGAGGGACAGTCATTCAGCCTCAAGGGCAGTCACTCTAAGGCATGGAAGAGCCTGGCGGGCAGAGGCAGCTGCTCTCAACAACGCTAAGGAGAGGAGGGTGAGCCCAGGCCGCACACTGGAGTTTAATCCTGAGCCATGGGGGTCACCGAGTGGATGGAAACAAAGGTGTGACCTCGTCTGATTCAATTCTAGAAATCCGGGCAGCACGCGCCACAGAGAGAGCCAAACACATACAAAGGTGCAGGAGGGGAAGGTCACCTGGCAAGCACCTGTGTTAGGCCAGCTGCCCGCCCGGGAAGAAAGGTGTAGGCATTTCTGAGAAGCACTTTGGAGCCCGGACCAACCTGACTGCCCACAAGGGTAAGGCCAAGGAGGCTCGGAGAAGACAAGCAGACCTCTGGGCCTGAGCAGTTAAGTAAATGATGGTGCCACTTAGGCAGAAGACTGAAGGAAGGACGTTTGGAGACAGTGTGAGGATCCAAAGCCTCAGGACAAGTTTTTCAGCAAAGTGAGAATACTTAGAGGCGTGTATTTTAAGACTATAGGAAGCGGGGAAATGGTACACACCTGCAGGCTTAGCACTCCGGGAGACTGAGAGAGGAAGATCACAGGGCCGAGCCCAACCTGGGTAATTCAGCAATTTAACAAGATCCCACCTCAAAACTGTAAAAAGGTTGGGGTGCGTGTGTGTGTCTCAATGTGGGTTCAATCCCTAGTACCACAAAAAAGATTATAAGAGATTTAAATCGGGCATGATGGTGCACGCCTGTAATCCCAGCACTCGGGAGGTTGAGGGAGGAGGATTGCTAGGAGTTCAAGGCCAGCCTGAATTGCAGAGCGAAACCCTGTTTCAAAAAGAAAGAAAGAAAAAAAAGCACACGCATGAGAGAAAGAAGGGGGTTGGAATCACTTGTCTTCTATTTACACACACCGCAATACTGACACATACAATGACGTAGGCTGGGGTTGCTTCAAACAATTCCAGTGAGGAAAACAGGAGCGAACAGAGGTGGAGATAAAACCAAAGACCAAGCTGCACTGCTCTGACCATGCAGCAGTGTGGAATGTTCTTGAGCGCACTATTTATGCAACATACAATCTCTTGGCCATTGTGGCAGTATGTAAACCACTAATAAATACAGTGTTTATCCCTTCTTGAAAAAAAAAACACCAAAGATTGGTCAAGAGTGGGTTTTTGTTTTATTGGTTTTTGGTCTTTTGAGGCAGGGTCTCACCACACAGCCCATGCTGAGCTCGAACTTGTGGCAACCCCCCTGCCTCAGCCTAGGGATGCGATTATAGACATGTGCCATCACATGCGGATAATTTCTGAAGTTGAGAGATGGGTACATGAGGGTTCACTATACTACTTTCTCTACTGTTTATGTAAGTTCATGGAACCAGATGGAGGTACAGCAAATGGAGAAAGGCCCCAAACTAGTGGGGGGACAATGCTAGGTCAGGAAAAAAAACAGGTGAGACGATCTCTGTTCTACAGCTTACATTCTGAGGATGTGGTCAAAAAGCAAGTAAACAAATGAGTTTTAAATCAACACCACAAAGAAACAGGGTGGTGACACTGTATGTGAAGACAAACCGAACTGAACAGGGCAGACCCATCTCCGGGAGGCAGATATGAAGAGCAATGCTGCTAAAATCCTTTGCACTCTACTTTCCCACTTCTACTTATAAACAAATCTAAATTAGAGGCCATTAATATTTATTCTAAGAAAAAAAAATTTTGGCAAAACATTTATTGGTATATTTTAGATATACACAGTAATATTCATCACAGGATCTAAGGAAACTATTTTAACCCACAAGCTTTTGATTCTTTCTTCCCTACTCTTTTTTAAACTCCCAATGCTGAGGTCATTATTCAGGAGTTCTGGAAATAAGCCAGGTGTGGTAGCACATGCCTGTAATCCCAGCATTTGGAAGGCTGAGGCAGGCGGATTGCCATGAGTTCGAGACCAGCATGGGTTCCATAGTGAGTTCAAGGCCAGTCTGGACTACACAGCGAGATCCTGTCTCAAAAAAACACAAAACAAAGCAAGAGTTCTGGAAGTAGAGCCAATTCAGGACTGAATCCTGGAGCCCCACAAGCCCCTTCTTAGCCAGCCATCATGGCGCACGCCTATAATTCCAGCATTCACAAGTTTGAGACCAGCCCGGGTAACTTTGAAACTCAGTGAGACCCTGTCTCAAAATAAGAATGGGCTGAGGATGCAGCTCAGTGCAAAGGCCTTGGGCTCAATCCCCGGTGCCACAGGGTGAGGGAGTCTTCTTGCCTGGGCAGCTCTCCTCCCACACCATCTGGACTCTGTGGTTCCCCTTTCCTTTAGCTATAGCTTTTGCCACTTTTGGGGCTCCCAACAAGCCTGCTCCCTAGCTAAGTGCAAAGCAGTGCTTTCAGAGATAGATCTTAAGCCCTATGAACGTGCCAGTGTTGCTGGGGGTGTTCACTGCTACATTCCCAACAACCAGAAGTGTGTGAAACAGTTAGCACTCCATATCCATCCAATGAGAAAAGTTCCTTTGGCCATTGAGAAGGTAAACCAGGTACCTATCCAGGTGCTTAAGTACTCAATCCACAACTAGAAAAACTTGAAACCTACTTTCACACAAATAAATACGACTTTCATGTCCCAGATGGACAGGCTGGGGCTATGCAGCTCAGTGGAAGAGCATTGCCTAGCACGCGCAAGGCCCTAAGTTAAATCCCCAACACCATAAAACAAAACTGCATGCGATAGATAGACAATCAAATTGTTCCAGATAATCCAAGAGCACTTTTTCACTTAAAGTAGGGGATTTGTTTTGTTTTGTTGTAGCACTGGGAATTGGGGGGGGGGGTTGAGACAGGGTCTCACCATGTAGTTCAGACTAGCCTTGAACTCACTATGTAGCCTAGGCTGGTCTCGAACTTGTGGGGATCCTCCTGCCTCTGCCTCCCCAGTGCTGGGATTACATGCAGGCACCTCCATGCCCAGCTGGCACTAGGAATTGAATGTAGAATCCTCACACTGAGCTACACTCACAGCCCTTCTTAATGTTATTTTGTGACAGGGTCTCATCAAGTCCTTAATTGCCCAGGCTGTGCTCAGATTTGTGATCCTCTTGCCTCAGCCTCCTAAAGTGCTGGGATTACAGGTGTGTGCACCAGGTGTGGTTAAAACAGTCTTTCCAGTCCTCAGCAGTATGTGCTTAAAGCCTGGAAGATATGAGAAAAACTCTAGCACACAAGCACCCACCTCATTCAACCTCTTCTTTTGCTTGTTTTTGAGGCAGTACCTTGCTATGTAGTTTAGGCTGTCCTGGAACTCTTGGCTGGGATTACAGAGGTGTGCTGCCACACCCAGTTTGACATTTCTTGAGGATATGGTGAATTCAAGTACGACTGCCTTCGTGGGTAAATCCAGCAATATTTTGGTTTCCTGAAAACAAAAAACAGGAAAGAAAAAACTCTTTTGGTTTGACTTATAGGAATTCTTTGCTGGCAGCTCAGTCAAGACCTTTCTGAGTATGTGCTTTTAGGATATGATCGAACACTGCGTACGGTCTGTACAGCAACCATGGACACGTGACAGGAATTCAATAATAATGAAACAGGACACGGATTTTTTGGTTTCTCCTAAGTCTGCTCCTCACAAGTGATCTTGAACAAATCCATTCCTCCCTTCTATCTGACTTCCCCATGTTTCAGGACCAAGTTTATGACTCAAATGGGTCAGGCAAGTAGATAACCAACAGTTGCCAAATATCGATCTAGGAAACGCATCTCCTGAGCTATCTTCTGGGATCTCTTCAGGACACTTTCAAGGAATCCCTGCACACAGTGGGCATCCTGTCTCGCTGAGGGCCGGTCAGAGACAGAGAGGGCCCTCAAGTGTCAATCTATGTGGAGAACTTAGGCTAGGAAGTCTGTTCCCGACTCATCTGAGAACTGAAAAATAGGTACTTGCGCCTGTTCTCGGGCCACTTCTTCACTTCTGCCATTTCAGCCCCTTGTAAACTAAGCTGCTAATTTTAGACTACCCTACTGGAGTTGGCAACTCCTTTCCAAAGGAATCTTGCCCAATACCGAGCCGAGCGGAGCGGAGCCTAGCCGAGCCAGGCCGAGGCCCACTGCCTACTCGGGTCGGCAGGACGCGCCCCAGGCGGCGAACGGCCCATGACCCGAGCCCTCCGCAGCGCCCCGAGCCAGGGCTGCCCACCGAGGACCGACCTGCGCCCGGGGGGTCCAGGCAGGCCTGGAGCCGGAGCCCGCAGTCGCCCGCCGTAGGACCGCGACGCTGGCCACTCCCCGCGGGCGCGGCGGCAGCCCAACCCCGCAGGGGCACAGCGCTCCCAGGCCGCGGGCCCGACACTCCCACAGCGTCCCCTCGGCGTCCCGGGCCGGCGCCAGACCGGGCGGGCCGCCTCGGCGGGCCTTTGTTTTTTTGGTACCGGGGATCAAACTCAGGTCCTTGCGCTGGCGAGGCAGGCACCGGAACCACCGAGCTAGACCCCCGGCCCTCGGCGTGTCTTTGTGTTTGTACACACGGCGCGAGGCCGCGGGAGGAGGGCGCCGGGGGCGCGCGGGGGCGGGGCGAGCGCGCGCCAGCGAACCGGCGCGCGGGGGG